ATAAACACATCTCGAAAGATGCGATAATAAATTTATTTCGACAGGTAAATTTTTAATACCTGCTTCATCAGATCTGGATTACAAAACGGTTTAAGTTTATCCAGACAATACGGAAAAAAAAATTAAAAATAATTCACAAGAGAACAGGAAGTAAATCTAAATTGCTTGATCTAGAAAAATCTTATCTGTGGATTTATATTATTGAAGAGATGGGTTGGGCAGCAAAGTGTCAACACAATGAACAAGCGTGAGAGGGGGATAAACAAATGACAGCTAGCGAAATACATTGGAATCAAATCAAAATTTAAATCGTCATCATCTAATTTCCGTCAGATAACAGAAATCATCATCATACTTATTATAAAACCCAGGTTGTGTGTGTGTGTGTGTGTGTGTGTGTGTGTGTGTGTGTGTGTCTGTCTGTCTGTTCGTTTATATATTGGATCGGATTTCCTACATTTTTCAACCGATTTCAACAAAACTTCACAGGACTACGTAAAATCACCTTGCGGTGGTTCTGACGGCGCCAAAAAATGGGGAAAACACAATTGTTTTTGCACGAAATCAATTTGAAAACACGATTAAGAGGCATCGCTGTCACGAGAATGAAAGGGGGGAACTCATATCGAGTTATACTTATTATAAAACCCAGGTTGTTTGTGTGTGTGTGTGTGTGTGTGTTCGTTTATATATGGGATCGGATTTCCTGCATTTTTCATCCGATTTCAACAAAACTTCACTTTTTTTTGGCAGGTAGTGTTTCTTATTGTCTTGCACACTTTTTTCTTTATTTTTACATTCAGAATGCTTTAAAAATTCCATTTACAAGACAATTGTTTATAATAAAATTCTATTCAATCAGTAGACTCATAACGATTGAAAACAATGTTTTTGTTTGAGTTTGGGTTTGACCAATTCGTAAAAAACAAAAAACAAAACAAAAACAAAAAAAACTAATTAAGACATGCGTCAACCTTAAACAATAATCTTTGTCAATTTTATTTTTCAGTCTTTATGATAGTCGATACTTGATCTATCTCTTACTGTTACATCCCTGGGCAACGCCGGGCTCTACTACTAGTAACATATAAAAAAAAAGGAGTGAAAAATTTATATATACATACATACATACATATATATATATATATATATATATATATATATATATATATATAGATAGATAGATAGATAGATAGATAATATTAGTGATAAATATACACATACATATGCAAAATATATATACATACATGCATACACATACATATATATTTTGTATAAAAAAATCAAAGAGGATAGAATCTTGGTAGAACGCAATGTCCAGGACAGAGTAAGGATAACACTAATATCCCATGGTCATAATTTATTCCATTGGAATCGTAAATACGATCCAATTCATCAGACCTTAATTTGCATGTCTGATGAATTGGATCGTATTTACAATTCAATGGAATAAATTATGACCATGGAATATTAGTGTTTAAGCCTTTTATTATATATATATATATATATATATATATATATATATATATATATATATATATATATACAGGGTGATTCCAAAAAAACAGGAATTTTTTTTAAGTGCGTATTGCCAGACATGAGCAAGTGCCAACACTGCGAGACAGTGACCTTGAGCAAGTAAACATTTCGCCATTTAGAATTCAAGATGAAATTCACAGTATCCCAGCTGAGATATTGCAGCAGTCAACTAGGAATCTCAACAGCAGATTTCAAGAATGCATTCCTACAGGAGGACGCCATCTACAGGACGTAATTTAAAAAAAATGAAAATTCCATCATTGTTTCAATTACTATGAATAAAATATTTTTCATCCATCACTCTTAGTTTTATTGGATTGTTAAAAAGTTCCCATTTTTTTGGTCACGCTGTATAAATACACACACACACACACACACACACACACACATATATATATATATATATATATATATATATATACCTACACTTGGGTGCGACTTAAATTTCGTTGTTTCTTGAAATGTTATTTCCTGGAAGCTTTATTTTCTGAAGCACGCCTTTTTCTTTTCTTTTTTTTTTGAAGCCTTATTTTTTGGAAGCGTTGTTTTCTGAAGCAAGCCTTATTTTCTGGAAGCCTTATTTTTTGGAAGCCTTATTTTCTGAATCACGCTTTATTTTCTGGAAGCGTGCTTTCATTTTCACTGCATATACGTATACTTGGGATTACTGTCTTGAGAAATTTCAGGTATTGAAAGCTTGTTCTACAGTATTTTGACATACAAAGTACTACCCTTTCATGATATCTAGTGCACCTATAATGTATAAAGTGATGTTCAAAGCATTGGACTCAGGATATTTTAAGAAAATAATAATTTTCATTATTGCTACTAACCCCAAACTTCAGTTGAATATAGTAAATATTTAATATATATTATGCATAAGAAGAAATAAATACTCAAATATTTATTAACAAATGGAACAGAAAGTAACATGCAAAAGATTTGGCCACAAGATAGAGGCAATAATAGAAAATTTCCTAAAACCATTTTATGTGCCCAATACTTTTGTATGTCCTTTTACATTCCAAGTATTAAATAAAATTAATAGTTAATTAATCTACTATATATATTTAAGTCATACGTATATAATAAGTATATATAATAAGTATTAATCTAGGATTAATAATATATATTATATATATTTGGGGAGAACAGACTGAAACATACAGACAGACAGACAGACTGACAAATAGATACTCTTAGGTATGTAAAAATATCTCAGAATTAACACGTAGAAAAAGACAATATGTATAAAGGAAAAAAAGACAATAGACAAAACAAAGTATCTATAAACAAACAAAATGTCAGAAACGCTATTGTATATGCATATGGTCAACTGAAAATTGATACCAATTACTTTATGTTTGAAGGGAATACTTTCACGTGTAGAAATATTCTTTGCGTTTTTGTGTTAACGGATTCAACCGTTTTCTTTTGATTTCTTGATACATTTGTTGTGTACATTGGCTTGGGAGGGGCGTAGTGATTCTGTTAGGAAATTTGATACAACACAACAATACAAACAATATTTCTGCACGTGAAAATATTCTCTTCAGACAAAGTAATTGATGTAAATTTTCAAAATGGGGAAGACGTTGATTAGGGATGCGACTTGTGCGGATACATTTTCCACCGGTAATTTGATCCGGTCCGCGCTTGAGCCGGGGTCTGTCGCCTGGGACGCAGAATTAAAATAAAAAATAGTTAAATATTCTTCTCTTGCTCATAGATTGTTTTTTTTTTTTTTTTTTTTTTTACTCCTGTGGCAGTGGAGATTTCTGGGGTTATTGGCTCTCGTTCGATGGCGTTCCTTCGGAGGATTGGCGTGATTGCGTCTCGATTAAGGGACGAGCCTCACGAAACGGAGTGGCTCTTGCATCGTGTCTCACTGACGATGATGCGAGGTAATGCTTTCTCCATCATTGCGGTTGGCAGAGGACAGCAAAATAATAATAATAATAAAAACATTTTGTTTATAGTTACTTTGTTCAGACTTTTTTCAATAAATAATTTCCTTGAACAATTTTTTTTCAGTTGATCATAGAATACAATACAATAGCGTTTCTGATTTTTCTAGTTGCTAACGACATTTTGTTTATAGATACTTTGTTTTGGAATTTGGAGAGAGAGAAGACGTGTTTTTCAAAGCTCTGCTGATTTCAACGGATCTTTTGATAATGGAAAAATGTCGGATTAACGATTAAGTAAGGTAAATACGAATTTGAATAGTAAATGCAATAATCATTATTGAATTAATAGTTGGAAATTGTAATTATTATTGTAAAGGAGTTTTAATTCAAGACAGTATATTTTCGAAGATTTGATTTCAAGGGAAAAAAAATGAAATTAATGTCAAGCGGAGATTACAAAAATTAATAGAAAAAAGCTTTATATTAATTTTAGGAAAAAAAGAGAAAAAATGTCTCTTCCTTCTTCTTTGCTGGAATGTGATCGTTGCTTTTCTTGTGGCAGCATAAACAAACTTAATAGATTCAAAAGTTGTTCAAATTGTCAACGGTCTTTTTATTTATCTTGCGTAGGATTGACTAGAAGTGCTTTCAACGTCTCTGGTTGTTTGGAGTTGTTCACATTGTCTGTCTCTCTCGGCTCTACAAGATAGTGTGAACCATCAACATAATGAACCGACCCAAAGAGATGCCAGTGAAGTTTTGAGGGCAACCTCACTCCTCAGGAAAATTCCGGAAGGTGCCTTTAGAAGTCCCTAAATCTGTCAGAATCCCGGCAGCCGATGCCTTGGCTACTGCCATAGACCATGAAATTAACTTGAACAGTTCGCTTGACTGGGATCACTGTTTCTCTTTCGCAGCACTCGAGCTCGGCATTCCTTGCAATAAGGACCCTACATCATCTGTTACATCTATTATGAAAAATAACATTTCTTTATTCAATTCGTCTAAAATAAATGCCACCGAATTTTCTAATCTTTCTAATCCTAATAGATTACATCCTTCATCTACAGTCGATGATTCTAAGAGACTCCGTGACCTCGTCAATGTTAAGTTGGGTGATGTCTCAGCTGCAGTTAGAGTATTGGCCTCATCCTAGCTACTACACCATAAGTTCTCACAGCGTTTCGTTGGAAACTTCCCGCGTCATCATCAGATGTCAGATTTGTTCAGATGGAAAACGATGACTCAAATATTTAAATCTCAAAGGAAGCGATCGTTGTCGCTCTGAAGTCTTTCTCAGGAAGCAGCAGTGCAGGTGTGGGAAGCCTACGACCTGGTCACATCAAGGACTTAATTTCTGCTCACACTGCCGAAGCTGGTGATCATTTGAAAAGATCAATAACAGCTCTTATTAATATCCTTCTCCGAGCTGAGATACTTCAACATGCTCACGACCTAATATTTTCAGCCAACAACGGCTTAAAAAAAAAAAAAAAAAAGATGGAGGTATCCGCCCTATCACTGTTGGTAACATTTTCCGTCGTCTCGCAGCAGAAATTGCTTGTAGAGGTGTTGTGAAGGAGATAGGGCATGAATTGCGACCAGTTCAGCTCGGGGTAGGCATACAGGGCGGAGGTGAAGCCGCGGTTCATGCCACAAGATCATTTTTCGAGAATACTTTACCTTTTTCTCCACGTATCTTATTAAAATTGGATATGAAAACCGCTTTCAGTAATATCAGAAGAGATCATACCCTGGAAGTTTGCCATAAACGGACTCCTTCCATATTTAAAATGGCTCATCTTTCATATAGTCATCCAAATATGTTGATCGCCTTCGATAATGTTATCTCTTCTTTTACCGGAATTCAGCAGGGTTATCCACTTGATCCGCTACTATTTGCGATAGCTGTCGACCAGGTAGCTCGTTTCATCGCCTCTCCTTTTAACATATGGTATCTTGACGATGCAACGCTGGGAGGACACGCCGAGGCCGTAGCTACTGACCTCCGAGGAGTTATTCCTGCTTGATCTCTGCTTGGACTTGAAATTAACTTGTCCAAGTCAGAGATAATAAACTTGAATTATAGTGTAGATGATTTCGAGAGTGCTATCCGGGATATCAGACTCATCCTTGAGGATATAAAAATAACACCTAAGGAGGAATTACACATTCTTGATTCTCCGGTCTACCCAATGGCCATTCGAGAGTGTTTGGATACTAAACATGTCTAATAAGAATGACTGAAAAATTGCACTTAATTGATGCACACCCAGCCCTCTTCCTCTTGAAGAACAGATTTTCGCTACCGAGTTTCTTCTACACCCTCCGACGTACCCTTTGCTACCTTGAACAAGATTTCTCAAACGAGATGGATATCACAATTAAGAGATGCGCGGAGTTAATTTGCAACATTAATTTCGACAACACAGGCTGGAGGCAGGCGATACTCCCTTTGAGTTTCGGGGGTCTGGGAGTCCGATCAGCGACAGACTTGGCCCTTTCAGCATATCTTTCTTCACTTTCTTCCAGTCGTGAATTAATTGATGAGATACTCGGTAGATCGTCTCACTGTTTCTCGGGTAGTTCTTTCGAACAAGCTTGCAGCGTCTGGGCCCAAGAATTACTTTCTATCCTATAAGACACACCCATACAGAAAAGCTGGGATAAAATAAAATGCGAGGCAATTTTACTAATTTGAGGCTCTCTCTCTCTGGATCAGCATCGCCTCACCTGTCTACTATCTGCTTCAAAACCAAGTAGTGGCACCTGGCTCAACGCAGTGCCCTCTTCATTAACCGGTACCCTTCTAGATGAGTGCACTCGGGTCAGAGTCGCGATCTGTCTTGGGTTCTAATTATGTGAGCGTCACAGATGCAGATGTAGAGTTTCCATTGATGAGTTTGGTTTGTATCCTCCCTCCTGTCGTCGTAGTGCAGGCCGCTTTCTATGCAACAATAAACGGCATCATCAGAAGAGGTCTGGATGCAGTTGAGTTCCCCTCCCAACTCGAACCCGTAGGCCTCGACTGTGGCGATGGAAAGCAGCCGGATGGGATTACCATTTTCTCTTTTAAAATGGGGAAGTCGTTGATTTGGGATGCGACCTCTGGAGATACATTTTCGACGACTGGTAATTTGATCAGGTCCGCGGTTGAACCTGGGGTCTGTTGTACGGGACGCGGAGATAAAAAAAAAAATAGTTAAATATTCTTCTCATGCGGACAGATTTTTAATTGAGTTTAGATTAGGATTTTAACTAGACATTTCCAAGAGTTGGAACTTTTTTTTCGAACCCATTCTTGTTTGTATTTGCTTTGATCCTTCGGATCATTATCCTGTTGGAAGATCCAGACCCGAACTAAAACCCAACTTTCAAACTGTTCAAAATTGCTCGGTATCATGCACAGTTAATTGTGCCGACAATGCGTACTGGTTTGCTTGCAGCAAAGTAACCCTAAATCCTACAGTATCTGTCTATATTTCTGAGATCAGGTATTATGTACACTATTTAGATTATTCGGACAATTGTCCTCATCTTTGTCGCCAGATTACAACGTTTCGGCCGTTGTACTCTTTCCACAGTGGATAAAGGCGTTAGTTTGATCCAGTGACAGGACCCAAAGAGTGTGAGTTCAATACCCGGTTAAGGCAGTGGAGAACTTTCAGAGGGGAATTAACAAGAGATAACTGACTACTGACATCCATTAAACATGGCACGTGGAACTAGAACAGTCTACCCCAGTGAGTGAAATAAAGGGTTCAGTTCGACATTCCAGCCACCTAAAGAAGGCCGGAGCGTACAACGGCCGAAACATTGTAAAAAATATGGCGACAAAGATGAGGACAATAGTCCGAATAATGTAAATAATGCCCCAAATCCTAATGTTGCCGCCGCCATGTTTAACAGTTGGCACCAAATTCTTCTTTTCAAAAGCCATATTAGGAGCTCGCCAGACATACGTTCGTCCCCATAAGTTCTAGTTTGGTCTTGCCCGACCATAAAATCTTTTGCCAGAACGTCTCTAGTTTATCAATATGAGCTTTAGCATAGTTGGGGCCAGCTTGTTTGTGCTTTTTTTTTTTGTAAGCAGTGACTTCATTCTTGGCATTCTACCATGAAACCGTCACCATTCAGAGGCCGTCGCACTGTAGAAGTATGTATATTGATTCCGACATTGGCCAGGTAGCCTTGAAAAAACTCAGAGGTCAAAGCCAGGGTTTGCCGAACTAGATGTCTACTTGCTTTTGCACTTATTTTTCGCGGACGGCCACATTATGATTGCGATGCCAAAGGCCTCCCATTTAAAATCATTTGTCACACGGTGGAGACGTGCACTTCGAATTGTTTTAATAGATTTTTGTAGCCTTCTCCGTCATTATAAGCTTCAAGTATGCGATTTTTAAAAGCTTCACTAAATTCTTTTGATCTAATTGCACCCATTTGCATACGCAATACGCTATATTGGTATACTGCAGTATCTACCAAAAATAGACACGCGCCATTTTGATTTTTACCCATGCACAAAAAATTATTTGCACTGGCAACCATGTAAAATAAAAATACTTTTTTTTAAAGTGGTTGTAATTCGTTTAATAAATGTTTTTCTTAATGAATATATATTTTAATTAAGATTTTTTCATTATATGGAAAAAAGGGAAAATTTTTTTAATATATATATATACATACACATATATATATATTAATTCCTTATAATAAAACAGTATATATGTATGTAGAAGGAATATACATACTAGAAAAAAACACACACGGACACACAATACACAAAAATGTAGACAGGTCTAAGAAGATACAGGGGTCATAAAAAGATAAGAACAAAGACCTCTTTCCTTCGCCCTTTCTCTGACCAATCCTAAATTGCCCCTTAACCCGAAGAATACTTTCGCCACAAGTTCAAGAAGAATTTGGGTTACTAATACACAAGACAATCGTTAAACATCGGAAAACATGAGGAAAATTAATTCTTTATAATAATATGTGGAAATAACCATTCCTTGCCTGATGAAAGTCGCCAAACCGGAAACACGTGTAGCAAAAATATGCAAAATAAAGTATAATATATATTTTTAAAAATCTACATCATAACCTAAAACGTTTGCGGATTCTGTCTTTTCTTTTATATATATATATATATATATATATATATATATATATATATATATATATATATATATATATATATATATAAGCAAATATATGGATATAAATCCGACAGTATGAAGAAAAATATATACGGAAAAAACAAACAAAAATCCTTATATACAATTATGCTGTTTTAATGTTAATATGTCAACGTCGGACGTTTCGGTCTAATAAACCATCTTCAGGACGATGTACATAAGAAAAAGACTTATCCAAACATATAACTGAAATATATATATGTATGCATGTATGTATGTATGTATGTATGTGTGTGTGTGTGTGTGTGTGAAAGATCGTATAGATAGATAGATATGAACAGATTTAAATTTAGATATATACTATAAACTTTATTTTAGCGGTTAGACCCGTTTGGGTTGCTGTCTCTGTTTTTTTATTTTTTTTCTTCTTCCCTTCCTTGGGCGCCATACGTAATACACACTTGACCGAATTTGTCTATTTCGATTCATGACTGTCTTGGCAGAAGAATTCCTGCAGTAGGTTGCCCTTACTTCCTGCAGTAGACTGTTTAACCTATAGCTGGGGCTTTATTTTCTTAAACAGTGAAAGTAATAACAACAGGATTATATATTGAGAAGTCCCACTAATAAAAAGTTGTGCCTCCCAACAAGAAAAATAGATAAATATGAACAGACTGAGATAGATAGATAAATAGATTTGATGTGAATAGCTATCTAGTTAGCTAGATATGAACAGACCGTGATAGATAGATAGATAGATAGATAGATAGATAGATAGATAGATAGATAGATAGGAACAGACTGTGATAGATAGAATGTGACAGACAGACAGATAGATAGGAACAGACTGTGGTAGATAGATGCGAACAGCTAGCTAGCTAGATACAAACAGAATGTGGTAAATATAAATGAAATGAGATAGACAGATGTGAATAGCTAGGTATGAAGAGAATGTGACAGACAGACAGACAGACAGACAGATAGATAGATAGATAGATAGATAGATGTGAACAGCTAGCTAGCTAGATAAGAACAGAATGTCGTAGATAGATAAATAGATATGAACTGACTGTAATAGATAGATATGAAATGTGATAGCTGCGAATAGCTAGATATAAACATAATGTGATAGATAGATAGATAGATATGAAGAGACTAAGATAGATAGATAGATAGATAGATAGATAGATAGATAGATAGATAGTGTTGTAACCTAGGAAGGGTTATTGAATGACGAATAACCAAAACGGAGGTTGGAAATGAAATGGTAATCTTTATAACATCAACAAAATACAATACTTGCCAGCGGCGTGAAGCAGGTAAACCACTGCCAGTTGTGGACTACTTAGACAACATTTTACCCCCCCACCCCGCGCTTACAATAGTGTCCAACGTATTTATGAGTATTTGGGACATACACATTAGTGTTCATAGGTTTTGTATATAACAGATAGATAGATAGATAGATAGATAGATAGATAGATATGAACAGATTGTGATAGATATGAAATGAGATCGATAGATGTGATTAGCCAATCTTGCTAGATATGAACAGAGTGTGATAGAAAGATAGCATGCATCATATATTAAGAAAATCCAAGCAATATTTCTCTTCATGTACTTTATGATAATTTAAAACCAGTCATTCATCTGTTTTGCAACCAAATCAAAAGAAGTCTACAGAAGTCTTTGTACACTATTTACATTATTCGAAGTATTGTCCTCATCTTCGACGCCATATTCATTACAACGTTTCGGCCGTTGTACGCTCCGGCCTTCTTCAGGTGGTTGGAATGTCGAACCGAACTCTTTATTTCGCTCACTGGGGTAGACTGTTCTAGTTCCACGTGCCATGTTTAATGGATGTCAGTTATCAGTTATCTCCTGTTAATTCCCCTCTCTAAGTTAAACATCGCATGTGGAACGAGAACAGTCTATTCCAGTGAGCGAAATAAAGGGTTCAGTTCGACATTCCCACCACCTGATGAAGGCCGGAGCGTACAACGGACGAAACGTTGTAATAAATATGGCGACAAAGATGAGGACAATAGTCTGAATAATGTAAATAGTGTACATAATACCTCATCTCAGAAATATAGACAGATACTGAAAGGCCAAAACGTTGTGATGAATATAGTGACAAAGATGAGGACAATAGTCCGAATAATGTAAATAATGTACATAATACCTCATCTCAGAAATATAGACAGATACAGAAGTCTTTGTAGTTTCACTCTTCTAACTCTGGAGTTATTTATTCAGTTTAACTGAGCCTCGCATTTGGCCAATAGTTTGGAACACCGAGTGAGGATCGTATTCACTATACAAGCTATTCGGCGTCTGCGTTAATTAATGGACGCAGCTTAGTCTGACTCAACACTAATTATTTTCTAATCATCGTGCCATACCAAGCGATCCTCTTGAAATTAATTAATAAACAAGCACTTTTTTCAGTGTAGTCTGATCAACAAGAAAACTCATTGCACACTACGGGCAGATATTCTGAATAGTCCAAAATGGTGTCCATTTTCAACAGCATGAGCGTCTGCAATCGTCACGTGACATAACTCCAACCCGAGGCAAGCGAACACACGAACACAGAAGGGGAAAGAAAACATAATTTGCGCCCATTTTTCTCTTTTTTTTAAGTTGGCGGTTAAAATGTGCATGGAATGTGGTGCATTTTGGGTAATAAGCGAAACTGGAGAAATAAATCGTTCGACGCCAATGTTTTAGGGCCTGCAATCCGACCCTTCCAACCATTTTCGTTTTTCGCCTACGCCGCAAACCAATTCCGAGATTTTAGGCATTGGTTGCTAGGCAACCGAACGAAAAGTTATATAACAGCTGCCATATCAGAACTCGATGATGCGTCGTGTAATTTCTTGGCAATATGTTAGATAAAAAAAAAAGGTAAGGTGAGTAGAGTGAGAATGTAGATCAGTTGAATCGCCGGTTGAGTAGTGCTCCAACCCTCATTTAGCTGAAAGTCTCACTCACAGGAATTGTGACCCCCGCCAATTACAGAGAATGATATACTTATGGTGAAACTAATCATAAATAGATATATTCTCCTTCTTTGTGCCGTGTCCTTTCAGAATCTGGACGATCACGGTTCTCCACAACTTCCTATCTTTCGTAACTCTTAACAATATTTGTCTTTTAACCATCCCTCCAACTTCCCGTTATGACATCCATTTACACACCTTCGTTAGGTAGGTTATCTGCAATATTATTGGTCCCGACCTGACATCTCGGCATCAGTTACTTTCCCACTTCCGTTACGTAGCTTCCCTCTGCCTTTTCTATAAATATTTTCATGCTAATTGTTCTAATGAAATTTCATCTATGGTGCCTAAACTTTACGATTTAAGCGCAGTACTAGATTGGCGGAAAGGTCTCACCATTTTACAGTTTGAAATGGCTAGATGTAACCGTAAGTTCTATGCTAGAAGTTTCTTCTCTTGCATTTCTCGCTTTTGAAATTCTCTTCCGTTTTTTTTGTTTTTGTTTTTTTGTTTTTTTTTTGCGTTCCAGTCAAGTTTGATCTCCAAAAATTTAAATGTCAGTCGTCAATCTTTTGTTTTCTTAATTCCTGTTCGTTTATTGTTCTCTCTCTTTAATAATATTTTCTTATTCTCTAAAAATCAGTAATTCTTTATTCCTTAGTGGCTTTATTGCCTTGCTTGGGCTGAAATGATTAAAAACGATCACTCGCTTCCTTCTACTGTCCGTCATGGCTTCAATATGTCTTGTGAGAGTAAAATCTTCCAAGGTTTCTTTTCTCATTATGCGTCCCAGAAATTTAAGTTCTTTCAGATTTTATTTATAATAGACATTTTTGTTTCCATTTCCCTTAAAATCTTTTTCGATGCTTAAAAGCTCCATCCATAGAATTCTTAACAACCTTCAGTAGAAACCACATCTCTGTTGTCTTAAGTCCCCCCTTCATTTGTGATGAAATTTTGTCCAGTAGACACTGACACTTGGGCGGATTTATATTACATAGCTTTTCATCGCTTTTATCTTTGTTTCTAACGAAAATCTGCTTTCCTAATACTTTGCTTAACTTTTGGAAGGCATCTTTCGCTATTCCAAAGCGCCTTTGATTTCTTTTGTTATATTTTACGTTAAAAACACTTCACAGATATACAATGCACACACACACACACACACACACACACACACACACACACACACACACACACACACATATATATATATTGTATATATATAGGTGTGTATATATATATATATATTGTATATATATGTGTGTGCGTATAGGATAGTTGCCGAAATACACACACACACACACGTGTGTGTGTGTGTGTATTTCGGCAGATATCCTACTTTTATACAAGTTTCGTTAAAAACTGACAAGGTACTGTTTAATAAATAAATGGAGAGTTTACTCAAATATTTGTATTTACTAAAATTAAGTAATATATATATATATATGACGTTATATATATATATATATTGCGTCTAGGATGAAACAGCCTGTCGCCTCTCAGTGTTGACTTCTATGTTCACTTTTATATTTACACCCGCTCTATCTCTGATATTGAGCACTTTATCCCATAAATATAGCACACCTTACGACTATATATATATATATATAGAGAGAGAGAGAGAGATCCAGGTAAAATGGGAACAAATGTCCTATAATATATATATATATATATATATATATATATATATATATATATATATATAGCATAATGAGAAGCCACGTATACTTTCTTAATATGTATATATAGAAAAAGTTTCAAATTAAAAATTATAATGTTTTATTTTATGAAAGTATTTATTTATTTATATATATATTTGATATTTCAAATTGTCCTCAATTTTTTCATCAGAAATAACTGTTTGTTACAAATAAATTAAAATTACTGTTTGTTGGCAAGTAGCGTCCTTCGAGAACGTGGACGTCACGTGATATGGAACGTCACTGTTCATATATTCCTAACTAAATCTAACTGTTTAAATATTTTTAAAAATATTTTTTTTTTTTATTACTATATCTAAAAGAAATTGTTGTATTGAAATATTTATAAAGATTTAAAACACCTAAGTCCCTTTCAACCCGTAATTTATGAGTATTTAATTTTAAAATCCAATATGTTTTCTTTTTTTCTGCGTTTGAATGTAGGAAGTAAAACTCGGAAAACTATTAAAAATCATTTCAGAAAACACCCTAATGTGTTTTCATCCGACCCACATGGGGAAATTACACAATTGAATAATGAAGAGAACATGGTTATTAAATTTCGAAAACCTAAAAATCATTCCACCACCAATATATCCATAATATCAGGCATTGGCACCAGAATAAATAATATATCGTTATGGGTATCACATAGACAATATCCCTGAACCTTTATTGCCTGACATACGTAAAATGTATTAGAGATTACTAAATGTTTGCAAATTACAAAACATTAATTTAGTCCATTTGTAATTTCCTTAGTAACGATGGATGTTTAGATATTTGGTACACGAACATAGCTGACATGTTGAAGGAGATTGTTTCATTGAGTTTATTAGTAACAAAAATTACCTAAACCAAATTTGATATATGCCAATTAATAAAGTTTCTTGTAATCATTTTTAAATTGTGAATAAGTGTGTGAATAACTGTGATTTAAAGACCATGGGAATCCGATTGTTGTTTTATTTTTCTTGTATGTAGTTATGTTAATATTTATTATGATAGTTTTTATTTAAGAAGATTTTATTATTTTTAATATAAACCATTGCATTTTTTTTTAGATATATTGATGACATTTTATTATTATGGACTCATGGAAAATCTAAATGGTCTGAAAACATTTTTCGTTTTCTTCAAAGAAATGAGCGATACAATTAAATTTTTTTGGAATTTAAACACATGATCCCTTTCTTAGACGTTAATAAAAGGAAACAAACATGGTTTCTACCAGTTTATTGTAAACCCACTGGTAACAAGTAAATGTTTGTTTAATTTTGTCATCCCGTTAAATTAAAAAATGGATTGTATACAGCTCATTTCCATAGAACCAATTTAATATGCTCAGACGTTTAGATTTTCTATAAAATATTAAAAACTTAACAAAAACAATTCCTAAAATGCAAATAATAAAAAAATAATAAATATATCTAAAGTAAATAAAACTTTCCTGATAAATCGTAACATCTTCTTTACTAGAATGTGCATAAAAATAACAATCGAACTAGGTGCCATTTTTTTAACCACAATCAATGCCACTAATCTGTAAATAGTGTTTGTTGTTGTAAAAAATGATTATGTGAACCTCCAATTAGACAACAAGATTAAAGACATTTTCTGTAAACCACCCATAAATGCAATTTTACAATCACCTAACTTATCAGCTATCCTCACTCCTTCAACAAATATTCTAAAAAACAGAAACTCCAACTAGGAAAATTACAAATGTAACAAACCTAATGTTTTTAGTTTGCAAAACATTTAGTAATAGTAATGTTTTACGTACCCAACACCAATGTCAGGCAACAGCCACCTAACCTCACCTGCGATATTGTCTACGTAATCTATTATTTATTCTGCAACTTATGTCCTAATAGTGGATATATTGGTGAGTCTGGAAACAATT